GACTCCACCACACTCCTTGGCAGCAAATTCCACTGTCAAACAGCTCTTACTGTCAGGAAGTTCTTCCTAATGTTTAGATGGAATCTTCTTTCTTGTAGAAGATTCAGTTCAGGAAGTTTATCGTACTAGCCAGAGGCCATGACAATTGCAAACCTGCAAACATAGTATTAATATAATACCATAGAACATGCATCCGGAATATAAAGAAGGCATTATGTGATTAATCGGTAATGATTTATTGTAATAGTTGAGAATGAGTTTCTGCTTAATTATTATTTGCTGATGCTCTGAGAGCTAATTTCATTGCATAATATTATATTCTAAATGGATCGTTGAACACTACTGCATTTTATATAAGTTGTTTATTTTAAAGTCATTTTAAAAAAATTCTGACTTATTTCCATTGCATCAGATTGTTATAGGATGTGTGGTCTTTGTTGTACATTTGGTTGTTTCTGTGGCTTGTAAAGTGTCTTGAAAGGTGGTAAACAAATTAAAAGTGAAATGGAGAAATAATCCATCTTGACCCATGAGTGGAGGCTGCAAACATCCCATCTCTCCTCCCTGCCTTCCTACTCCTTACTCCTTGCATTAAGCGACTAGTCCACATGGCCATGATTGCTGCCAAGATATATTGGTTTTGGCTCAGTTTGATGGTCGTGTTTTCTCCCAAAGTATTCTGGGAACAAGGGACGTGGGTGGCGCTGTGGGTTAAACCACAGAGCCTATGACTTGTCAATCAGAAGGTCAGTGGTTCGAATCCCTGCAATGGGGTGAGCTCCCGTTGCTCGGTCCCAGCTCCTGCCAACCTAGTTGTTCGAAAGCATGTCAAGGTGCAAGTAGATAAATAGGTACCGCTCCAGCGGGAAGGTAAACGCTGTTTCCGAGTGCTGCTCTGGTTTGCCAGAAGCGGCTTAGTCATGCTGGCCACATGACCCGGAAGCTGCACGCCGGCTCCCTCGGCCAATAAAGCGAGATGAGCGCCGCAACCCCAGAGTCGGTCACAACTGGACCTAATGGTCAGGGGTCCCTTTACCTTTTATTCTGGGAACTGTAGTCTGGGGAGGGTTCTGAGGCTCCTGTGAGGGATCTTTGCTGTGCCACCCCAACCTCTATAGACCTCTGGGGAGGAGGGAAAAGCTAAAAACCCACTTGCAGCGTAACTTTAAAACCAGCTTCAGAAAACCAAAGGGGCAGCAAGGGTGTCACGCCACAAATCTCCTCCTTCAACGCCCTCCAGGGCCACCTTCTAGATTTCCCAGGGAAAGATACCTTTCTAAAAAGCAAAGTGTACATTAGCTGTGGGACCAGGCTCTTTGCCCTGAGAGCTTTATCCTTAAAATCCCTGGTGTGTTAGAGAGGCACATCCAGACTCATCAGTACTCCTGGGACTCTCCCATTCTTGCATGAACAGAGGGGGGGGGGAGATGTATTGAAATGCTATTATTGACAAGGCATGAAAAAAGTGAATAGAAAGCTCAAAATGGAAGGTTTCCCTTCCGATTGAAGACGAGGCAGTTCTGATCTCCGAGCTTTCCATGTAAGGCCCCCTCTCACACACCTGTGGCCTGAAATGGCACAGTCCGCGGGAGAAAGGCAAACTGCCGTGGCGCGAAGGGCCGCACAGGTCGCCTGCGCAGGATCGACAGGCCCAAAGGTGAGGCCGGCGCAGGCCCGAGAGGCGACTACCCACAGGGGAATGTGTTACTGAGGAAGGAACGCTGTGGAAACTGCAAGCACTGAAGTTCTGAAATTAATAAATAAATGTAGGAGGGAGGTCCTCCTTAACGAAGCGCCGCTCTTGCACCCTGAAGAATGAATGGTGATACAGGGATGATAGGCTGTAACCGAGGAGGAGGAATTCAATCCTTACAAACACCGCTTTGCAGGTTATTAGATGAAACCCCCTTTTAAGTGAATGGTCAATCACAGATTGGTCTCTATGCGTGAAATTTGAGAGAGCGAGAATGGAAATTCACCAAAATTCGGGCTAGTCTGGGGCAGAGGTGAGCACTGTGTAGATCGCAGGAGTGCCCTGCCCTGATGTCCTTCTGGGGATCTCACCAGCTTTTCATGTTATTATTTCAAGTTGCTGGCCCTTGAGGGTCACTGGAATATGTTGTGCGGGAGGGGGTTTCGATGTGGTTGTCAATCCTGAAACAGCAGACCGTCGCTTGTAGGGAAACCTGCCTGCTGAAAATAATAGATCCTGCAACCTCCAGCCTTTGCTCCAACCTTCGCCTAACCCTTCAATTCGCCCTCCGTGTCAAGAGTGCTTTGCCAGTTCGCTACAGAAAGAGAGGAATCGAGTCCCCTCAGCAGACGAACGTGCCCTTCTTGGGCCCAGCACTGGGACCCGCCTTCCCTTTTGGAACCGCCAAGAAGGAACCAGCAGTTGCTGCCACACCGAATTCTCCTTTCCTTCCCTCTCCCCTTCCTTTCCCCAACGCCTCCGTCCTCTTCGAAGGCCTTATTGAGCCTGCTTCGCACTGAAGATTCCGGCAAGGCGACCCCGCCGCCACCCCCGGGCGAAAAACATATCGGTGTAGCCCAAGCCCAGGATCCCCCCCGAGCCTTCTCCGCCAAGCCAGGGGCTCCAAGAACTTCGACAGCACTAAAGCGCATCCTTGCAAGTCGTGAGCACCGAATTAGGATGGCCAGGCAGAGACCGCGGCCAGATGGCTCCCTCCCTCTCGCCGCTCAAGGTCCAAGAAGGCGAGGGCTATCGCGCCACGCTATCGCAGAATCTCTGGTAATAGCGCTGCTTTGGCTGCCAAGGCGAGGGAAGAGGCTGCCCGCCTCCCTTCCCGAGGCTGCCTCTTGCTCGCTCGCTCGCCCGCCAGCAACACGGAGAGACATCCATCTGCTTCTGGATGCATGACTATGCATATAATGGGTTATTATGTCCCCACCCCACGATTTTTATGGCATCCAACGTGCAGACCAGCAACACACCTACATCACAACAGGGGAGGGGGGAGGGGGGAGCAGTCTGCTTTGAAAACAAGCCTTCATCAAGGTGTTGGGAGTCAATGAGATTCCCTGGTGCTGCTGTTTATATATAACGGAATCACTCATTTTGCGGGGCCTGTTCTGAACCTCAGGTTCAGAACCCCCCTGCCGCTCGAGAGGGTGGGATCCCTCCGTGGGATTGAAGCCGCCTCTAATCATATCTCCCCAAACTGCCTTTGATTGACAGGGCAGTTATTAAAACGGAGCCAGTGGTTTCAAAGGCAGCCTCCGTCTTAAAGGAAGCCCTGGGTACACCAGCTCCTCATTCTTGCTGTATCAGAGCTTCCCAGCCACCTTGTGTAATAAAGGGGGGGAGGATGAGACTGGGGGGGGGTGTTAAATAAGAGCAGCGTCTCCCTGCACGCTTTTTTTCCATTGGCCGGCGGGATGGGCCACCAGCAACGTCAATCAGTAATTAATATTTAGAGATTTGGAGAGTTCACGTACTTATGCAAAACGAGCAAAGCAAATCGAATCGGATGCAATTTGTATACGCCTGTTTGGATGCAGGAGACACGACCCCCTCCCACACACACGGGTGGGTCGGGGTGTGTGTGTGTGTGAAATATTTTATGAGCAAGGATGCAATGCAATGCACTGACTGAGGCGCGGAGGGCGGGGGGAGCGCTAGATCAAGGGGACTCTCCTGAAGCAGCCAAAACAACATTGCACGGCTCCCCCCTTTCTGGAAGGTGGGGTGGGGGTTCAGCATTGCCCTCCCCCCCCCATATGGCGCCACTGGGTCCTGCATGCAGCAGATGCCTCGTCGCGTGGGGGTAAGGACGGGGCTTGTACGGCGAGTCTCTTCCCAGCAAAACGAGGCGCCCCGCAGCCCTCCCATGACACACGCCCTACAATTTACAATTGCATTCAAAAAATTAATTAAATCGCTTCCCGGCTCAGAGCCAGGGAGTCGCCCCGGAAATCCACCTCCGGGAGCCAGCCTCGGCGCTCGGGGCGAAGGCCTTTCCCCGTTCTCGCCCCCTGGCCGGCGTGCGGCGCAAGCCCAGAGCCCGGCGGCGGAGCCTCCTTCGCCCGCTGCCGCCGCCGCCGCTGCAATGGGCTCTGCCCAGCCTCGACCTCCGCTCGCACTGCGGTGCTCGGGCGAGGAGAAACCGTGGGCGCCCGCCTGCCTGCCCGCCCTTACCTTCCATGGCCGAGCTGTCCGGGCGCCGCGAAGTTGCCGGGAACTTTGGGGAGGGCTGGTGGGCTCGGGTGCTGGTCCTCCTCCTCCTCCTCCGGCTTCCGCAGCTCCTCCAGCCCGGATCCCCGGCGGCGCGTCGGGGCTTCCTCTCGGCTTCTTCCTGCTCGGCTCCGGCTCCTCCTCCGGCTCCTCCTCGGCGAAGGCTTTCCCGGCACCCGGAGGCTGCAAGCAAGCAAGCAAGCACCGCAAGGGTGAGCGCCCGCAGGGAGGGAGCCGCGCGCCGCTGCGCAACCCGCAGGGACCCCGGGACGGAGGGATGGAGGGATGCAGGGATGCAGGGATGGAGGGATGGAGGCTGGCGCAGGAGGCGAGCGTTACCTGGCGGCGGCGGAGGCGGCGGGCGGAGCGCAGAGGAGCTGTCCGCCGGCGCTGGTGCTGCAGGTACAACTGCCGGCTCTGCCCACTCGGCTGCCTCTGTTGTACGCACGGCACAGGCGCCGGGGAGCCGGCAGGGCGCATGCGCCCCCCCCCCCCGCCGCCTCCCTTCCCCTCCTCTTCGCTCCGGCCGCGCGCTCGCTCCCGGAGCCGCCAAAAGCGCTTGGCGCGGCGCTTTGGTCCCAGGGAGGCCTCGGCCGGGGAGAAAGCGCGCACTGGAGAGCGGAATCCAGCGGGACGGGGAGTGGCCGGGGACTCCGGAGTTCTCCGCGCCCCGGGATGAGTTTCTGTTCGGAGAAAAAGGAGGGTTTCGTTTGGAGACCACCACCCCCTCCTTCTCCTGCTGCTGCTGCGAGGCTTTTGGCCTCGCGCGCCGGGAGCGTTTATACGACACTTTTCCTAGCCCGGGATGGAGATGCTCTTGACTTCAGCCCCTGGGGGCGAAGCTCGGCGCTGCCTCAGCATCGCGGCGGAAGAGAAGGGGGAGCGGGCAGGCGAGCGCCGCAGGACCTCGCTGCCTCGTGCAAGGCTCGCCTTTCTCTGCGAAATGGACCAAAGAAGGCGGACTTTTTCGGATAACCAGGCCCGGAGGAAGGAGGCACGGGCCTTTCTTTGCATTTTTACAGCTGCCGCTCGCAGGAAGCCAGACATGGACTTCCACAGCTCGATCGAACCTAACCAAGCTTCCAGCCGAACCCATTTGCAAGCTCAGCCTCGTCGCAGCATACTGGGACCTCATTGCTAAACTGGAGAAGACAAAACTCCAAAAGAGATGCAAGGAGGCTGGAACCAGACTTCTAACCAGAATTCTAACCCAAATTAGCAGTCTAGGCTTGGGAGGGGGGGGATCTGGTACTAGGTTTTTTATTATTATCATTTAAAGAATTTATATGCCACAACTGCAGTTGGTGCACAAGAAATAAAATTCAGAAAGAGGTAAAAATAATAATGATCAGTTGAAACACTGAAACCAGAGTTCTGTTAAGATGCCTGATAGAAGACTAAAGGTCTCCCATGGGCGCCAGAAGTTCAACAGGGAGCGGGCTGGTCTGATCTCCACTGGAAGAATTCAAGTGGCACACGTACTGCAGGGTCAGTCCGCCATTGGTGTAACACAACCTGATTGTGACAACCCCAATGAGCGTTGCCTCTGGCTGCTCACATGCCCATGGCCCCCAATGTCCATTTTGTTGTGCATCCATGACAATTTCTGTTCATGGTGATATGGGGGCAGCCAAGGATCAGGGCAGGTCTATGCCAACCCCTGGGGCTTGGCAGAAAAATGGCAGAGTCATGCCCACTCATGCTTTGTTGAGGCTGTTTGGGTAGTGGGCTTTGGGGGACGGCTGCCATAAGAGCATAAGGATAGCCCGCTGGATCAGACCAGTCCAGTGGCCCATCCTGTTCACACAGTGGCCAAGCAGTTAATAATATATAATAATAATAATTTATTATTTATACCCCGCCCATCTGGCTGAGTTTCCCCAGCCACTCTGGGCGGCTCCCAATTGAGTGTTAAAAACAATACAGCATTAAATATTAAAAACTTCCCTAAACAGGGCTGCCTTCAGATGTCTTTTAAAGATAAGATAGCTGCTTATTTCCTTCACATCTGACAGGAGGGCATTCCACAGGGCGGGTGCCACCACTGAGAAGGCCCTCTGTCTGGTTCCCTGTAACCTCACTTCTCGCAATGAGGGAACCGCCAGAAGGCCCTCGGCACTGGATCTCAGTGTCCAGGCTGAACGATGGGAGTGGAGACGCTCCTTCAGGTATACAGGACCGAGGCCGTTTGATTGTTGACAGTGGGAAGCCAGCAATCAGGATTTGAACACAAGAGCCCTCTGCCCTCCTGTGATTTCCAGCAACTGGGATTCAGAAGAATTATTGCCTGTAACAGGGGAAGCAGGGCACAGTCGTTGTGGCTAGCAGCCACCAATAACCCTCCCCTCCTCCAGGAATTGGTCCAGTCCTCTTTTAAAGCCATCTCAATTTGGTGGCCGTCACTGCCTCCTGTGGGAGAGAGTTCCCTAGATTAACTATGCGCTGTGTGAAGAAGGACTTAAATCCTTTTATCTGTCCAGAATCTTCCAACATTCACCTTCATCGGATGCCCATGTGTTCTGGGGTTCTGAGAATGGGGTAAAAACTCCTCTGTTCCTCCACTAAGTCTCATGTTCTGTGGCTGCAGTGTGGCCTTAGCACATAGGGGACGTCTCATGGCCCTTTGTACCACGGCTCTCCTGTTCCACCTCCAGCATCCTGCCTGAAGACTCCTGTCCAGCAACTTTTCAAGATCCCGCACAGTGAAAATGAACTGCCGTGGTGGCACCTGTGCAGGTATAGCTCCTCCTCCTTTCCTGTACCTTTTCCCTTGGGTGGGTGAGTGGGTGTTTTAAATTGTAAGCCTGTGAGTAGGGGCTGTCTTGTTTTAATTGCTGGGATAGCTCAGTCAGCACTGCATGAGACTCTTAATCTCATCATATATCATATCTATCATATATATGATGATAATTATATTAATCTTCTTATATCTTATAGTGTGGTTTGTTTGATTTTTCTATTATTTGTTTGTTCGATTGTATGTTTGTTCACTTGTATGTTTGTCTGTTATTCATAAATGTATTTATTTTAAATTAATAAAGATCTATTAATAAAAAAAGAGACTCTTAAACTCAGGATAATGGGTTCGAGACGCGCATAGGGCGAAAGATTCCTGTGTTACAGGGGGTTGGACTGGGTGACCCTCAGGTTTCCTTCCAACTCTGCAATTCTATGTTCCTATGAATTGAATATTGGTCACTCTGGAAGCCCTTTTGGCTGAATAATGGGGTACAAACACCCTAAATAAATAAATGAATCACTCCTACAGCGATGTTGGTTTAGTGGAATCTTCAACCCCTCCATCTGCACCTGATTCCTTGGAGAATCACTTGCACAGGCCATGTTTGTAAGAACAATAGAAAAATAGCCTGCAAAGGAGAAAGCTATTGATGGCTAGTAGCCATAATGGCTGGAGGCATAAATGCTTGTGAATTCCAGTTGCTGGAAACAGCAGGAGGGGAGAGTTGTTTTTGTGCTTGAATCCTGCTTGCAGAAGAACATCTGGCTGTCCACTCTGAGGACAAGATCCTGGACTAGATATGCCCCTTTGGCCTGAGCCAGCAGGCTGTTTTCATATAGTTCTTTCTTCCTAAATTCTTCTTCTTCTTCTTCTTCTTCTTCTTCTTCTTCTTCTTCTTCTTCTTCTTCTTCTTCTCCTTCTCTTTCTCCTTCTCCTTCTCCTCCTCCTCCTCCTCCTTCTTCTTCTGCACAAAAATTCACTAATTATTCTTATACCAGTAAGTTGCTGCTGCAAGCTCCTATAATACTGCCACGATTTTCTCTCCAGTCATTTGTAAAACATGTCCTCCACCGCCATTTCTTTTCTGAATAAAGTTTCTGCAAGAGCCATATGCTTCCGTAACCATTCCCATGAAGTTGGAAAGTGTGGATTCTTCCTCTGAAGTGACCCCAGGTTTTCTGATGAGATTAGTAGATTCTTCATTAAAGATTTTCTTTCCTCTGGAATAGCAGCCTCAATCCAATTAAACTGTATCAATACAGGACTTCATTCCACAGTTATTGCTGCAATTCCTAACACCTCTTATTCCAATTGTGAAGTAAGCTTGCATTTGCAACTGAGACCTTTCCAAGACTTGAAATGTGCATCTGAGCAGCTTTTATTAAATCTCACAAGTGTCAGGAAAGAGAGCGATTTCTCACTGAGCTTATTGTACTGTTTAGCTCAATGATTTTACCAAGCAAAGTTGTTCCTCTACCGACAGGTCTAGGATCGTGGCCCGTGATGCTGTGTAGCCCACAGACAGTCGCTTTACCCTGTTTCAAACTACAGCCTTAGAAAAATGTAAATTGTGATGACACAGACATGAGCATCACACACATTGAGGTGCTGGGATTGGCTGCTTCTCTCTGCTGAGAAAAATGTGTGAAATGTCCATGGGATTCACAGCTGGACACTGATTCATGGTCTAGGGTCAAAAAAACCTTTAGTAGGAAGAGAATTATTAAGACTCCATTACAAATTCCACCCAAAGCATGGAAATTATACATTTCAAGCACCGAACTTCTGCACAATGGAAGGTATAGGAGACCCATGAGCAGCACAAAATTACTTGCCTTTCCTGTGGTTTCCAGCAGCTCGTATAATTATTATTATTATTATTATTATTATTATGCTGACAGAGGAGGCAGGTCAGAGCCATCCTGGCTGGGAGTCACAGACTGCCTTTACCTCCACGAATTCCATAGAATCATAGAATGGTAGAGACCCCCAGTGTCATCTAGTCCAACCCCCTACAGTGCAGGGATCCTGCCCACAGCCATCCCTGGGGGTGCTCAAACCACTAACCTTCTGGTTAATGGCCTGGTGCGCCAACCCACTGTGCCACCTGAGGGTGGAAGTCACAGGAGGGGAGAGTGTTGATCTTGTGCTGGGAGCCTGCTTGCGGTTTTCCCACAATGGGCATCTGGTTGGCCACTGTGAGAACAGGATCGTGGAATAAATGGGCCACTGGCCTGATTCTGCAGACGCTTCTTATTGTCTTAAACAATCCATTTCTGAAGCCCTCCAAATTGGTGCCCATCATTGCCTCTTGTGGGAGTGAATTCTTCTTCTTCTTCTTCTTCTTCTTCTTCTTCTTCTTCTTCTTCTTCTTCTTCTTCTTCTTTTATTATTATTACATTTGTAGCATCTTAAAAAGCAGAGACATCACCTTGCCAACAAAGGTCCGTATAGTAAAAGCTATGGTTTTCCCAGTAGTGATGTACGGAAGTGAAAGCTGGACCATAAAGAAGGCTGGTCGCCGAAGAATTGATGCTTTTGAATTCTGGTGCTGGAGGAGACTCTTGAGAGTCCCATGGACTGCAAGAAGATCAGACCTAGCCATTCTGAAGGAAATCAGCCCTGAGTGCTCACTGGAAGGACAGAACTTTGGACACCTCATGAGAAGAGAAGATTCCCTGGAAAATACCCTGATGTTGGGAAAGATGGAGGGCACAAGGAGAAGGGGACGACGGAGGACGAGATGGTTGGATAGTATTCTCGAAGCTACCAGCATGAGTTTGACCAAACTGTGGGAGGCAGTGGAAGACAGGAGTGCCTGGCGTGCTCTGGTCCAGGGGGTCACGAAGAGGCGGACACGACTAAACGACAAAACAACAACAATCCCACCTTTCCTCCAAAGAGCTCAGAATGGTCTGCATAGCTCTCCTTCTCCCCACAACAACCCTGTGAGGTAGGTTAGGCTGAGAGAAGGCAGTGACTGACCCTAAAGGTCACCCAGTGAGCTTCTTGGCCGAGTGGAGATTTGAACTCTGGTCTCTCCCAGGTCCTGGTCTGATGCTCTAACCACTACACCACACTGTGTTTATCGTGAGGAAGTGCTTCCTTTCTTCCACCCTGGATCTCTGAGCATTCAGCTTCATTCCTATCCCTTCCTGATCAGAAAAAGCCCAGCAGCTGAAGGCCTCTTCCGACGTCCTCCCTTGGGCTTTAACTGGGATTCAGAGTGCAGACCAGTTAGGGGATGAGCTGCAGAATGAAGGAAAGGACACCCACAACCCCCCCACACACACACACCTTGCTTTATGCCAGCTTCTTGTATCTAGGAACAGAAAGTTGTGGGCTCTCTTCTTCATGGGTGGTTTTTGAGCAGAGATCGGACGGCCACCTGTCAGGGATTC